ATGAACAAAAGAACAAAGAACAGTACAGCACAGGAACAGGCCCTTCGGCCCACCAAGCCCATGCCTACACATGATGCCTTTCTAAACTAAAAACTTCTTGCCTCTCCACGGTCTGTATCCCTCTATTCCCTGTCTATTCATGTATCTGTCAAGATGCCACTTAAACATTGCTATTGTACCTGCTTCTACCAGCTCCTCTGGCAGCGCATTCTAGGCACTTACAACCCTCGATGTAAAGAATTTGCTTCTCAAGTCTCCTTTAAACTGACCACCTTTTACCTTAAACCTATGTCTTCTAAGTCAGAAGTCACACGACATCAGGTTATAGTCCAACAGGTTTATTTGAAATCACAAGCTTTCGGAACAGGCGAATTCACCTGATGAAGGGGCTGTGCACCAAAATCTGTGATTTCAAATATACCTGTTGGACTATAACTTGATGTCATGTGACTTCTGACTTTGTCCACCCCAGTTCAACATCGGCACCCCCACATTATGTCTTCTAGTAATTGGCATTTTTACCCTGGGAAAAAGCCTCCAACTATCTATTCTATGCTTACCTCATGTAATTTTGTAAACGTCTATCAGGACGCTCCTCATCCTTCAACGTTCAAGTGAAAACAAACCATGTTTGTTCAATCTCTCCTCATTGTGAACACACTCCTATTCAGGTAATATCCTGATAAACCGTTTCTGTGCCCTCTCCAAAGACCCCACATCCTTCTGGTAGTGTAACAAACACACAGTACACAAAATTCCAAATGTGGCCTAAAGTTGTACACAATTGCAACATGACTTGCCAATTTTTACAACCTATACCCCCAACTGATGAAGGCAAGCATGCCATATGCCTTCTTGACCTTCTTATCCACTTATGTTGCCACTTTCAGGGTACTGTGAACTTGTATGCCTAGATCTCTCTGTATGTTGACGCTAGTAATAGGTCTGCCATTTACTGTATACTTCCCTCCTGCTTTAGATCATCCAAAATACATCACCTTGCGTTTGTATGGGTTCAATTCCATCAGTCATTTCTCTGGTCAAGTCTCCAGCCTATCTATATCCTGCTGTATCCTCTGGCAATCCTCCTCATTATCCACATCTCCCCCAATCGTTGTGTCATCCTCAAACTTACTAATCAGGCTACCTACAATCTCCTCCAAATTATTGATATATACTACAAACAACAAGGGTTCCAGCATTAATCCCTGTGGAACACCAGTGGCCACAGATCTCCAGTCATAGAAACACCATTCAACCATTACTCGCTGTATATGACCAAGCCAGTTCTGTATCCATCTTACTAGCTCACCAGGATCCCATGTACTTCGTCTTCTGTATCAGCCTGTCATGAAGGACTTTGTCAAAGACCTTGCTAAAGTCCATGTAGACACCATCCACCACCCTGTCCTCATTAGTCATCATTGTCACTTCCTCGAAAAACTCAATCAAGTTTGAGAGACACGATCTCCCCCACACAAAACCATGCTGCTTATTGTTATTAAGTCCGTATTTTTCCAAACGTGAATAAATCCAGTCCCAAAGAATCTTCTCCAATATTTTTTGTACCTTTGTCATAAGGCTCTCTGGACTGTAATTTCCCAGATTATCTCTGTTGCCCTTCTTAAACAAAGGAACAACATTGGATCTTCTCTATTCCTCTGTTACCTCTCCTGTGACTGAAGAGGACACAAAAATTTCATACAAGGTCCTGGCAATTTCCTTCCTCTCCACTCTCAGTATTCTGAGATAGATTCCATCAGGACCTGGGGATTTGTCCACCTTAATGCTTTTCAAAACATCCAGCACCATCTCCTTTACTATATTGGCACACCCTAGAATATCAACATGTCCCTCCTGAGACTCACCAACCCCATGTCCTCCGTTGTGAATGCCGATGCAAAGTATTTGGGACGGACCTCACCCACACCTGTAGCTCCACATATAAATTCCCTCCTTTGTCCTCAAGTGGACCTATCCTTTCTGCAGCTACCCTCTTGCTCCATATATATATATAACACCTTGAGATTTTCTTCAATCCTGTTTGCCAAAGACATTTCATGGCCCTTTTAGTCCTCCTAATTCTTTGTTTGAGTTCTTTCCTGCTATCTTTATATTCTTTGAGGGCTCTGTCGGTCTTCGGTTTCCTATCAAAAACAAAGTTGCTGGAAAAGCTCAGCAGATCTGGCAGCATCTGTGAAGGAAAAAAAGGAGTTAACATTTTGGGTCAGATGACCCTTCCTCAGAACTGCTTTCCTAAATCTTACATATGCCTCCTTTTGTCTTTTTGAGCAAGCTGTCAATTTTTATTGTCATCCAATGTTCCTGAATCTTGCTATCCCTATCCTTCATTTTCACAGAAGCATACTGGTCCTGGAATCTAATCAACTGGCCTTTAATAGATTCTCATGTGCCAGTTGTGGATTTACCCTCAAACAGTTGTCCCCAGTCTACATTCCCCAGTTCCTGTCTAATATTGTCATCGTTAGCCTTCCCCAATTTATTAATTTCACTCAAGGACTACTCTTAGCCTTAACCATAAGTAACTTAAAACTTATGGAATTACGATCACTGTTCCCCCACTGAAACTTGGATCACCTGGCCGGGCTCATTCCTCAATATCAGGTCTAATATGGTCCCTTTCCTAGTTGGACTTTTTACGTATTGTTTCACAAAACCATCCTGGACACACCCATCCCCATCCAAGTCCCTGGCATTAAGCAGTTCCCAAGAAATGTAGGGGAAGTTAAAATCACTCACCACAACAACTCTGTTGTTATTACATCTTTCTATAATCTGTCTATATATCTTTCCCGTGCCACCTGCTGGCTTGGGAGGCCTGTAGTAAATCTCATCATAGTGACTATACCCTTCCTATTCCCGAGCTCGGCCCATATGGTCTTGTTGGATGAACTCTCCAAGGTGTCCTCCCTCAGTACTGCTGTGATATTCTCCCTTATCAGTCACACAATCCCCTCCCTTCTTACATCCCTCTCTACATCACTTGAAACATCTAAATCTAGAACATTAAGCTTCCAGTCTTGTCCCTCTAGTCTGTAATAGCTACAACATCATAGTTATTTGAAATAATCCAAGCTCTAAGTTTATCTGTCTTACCTGTCATACTGCTCACGTTAAAGCCAATATGCTTCTGACCGCCAGACCCACTCTGTTCAGTAAGCTTCATAAGGTCAGAAGTGGGGATGTTTGCAAATGATCTCACAATGTTCAGCACCCTTCGTGACTCTTCAGGTACTGAAGCAGTTCATTTTCAAATGCAGCAAAACCTGCACAATATCCAGGCTTGGGCTGATCGAGTGGTGAGTAACATTCTCTCCAAGCAATGACCGTCTTCAACAAGATAAAATCTAACCATTTCTCTTTGCCATTCAATGACATTATGATCGTTGAATCCCTCACTGTCAACATCCTAGGAGTTACCATTGATCAGAAAATGAACCGGCGGTATTTTCCCTGGATCATCGGAGGCTGAGGGGTGGCCATATAAATGTTTATAAAATCATGAGAGACATGGATAGTTTGAATAGCCAAAGTCTTTTCCCCAGGTTATGGGAGTCTAAAATTAGGGGGCACAGGTTTAAGGTGAAAGAGGAAAGATCCAAAAGGGACCTATAGGGCAACTTTTTCATACAAGAGGGTGGTGTTTGTATGGAATGAGCTGCCGGAGGAGGTGGTGGAGGCTGGTACAATTACAACATTTAAAAGACATCTGGATGGGTACATGGATTGAAGGGTTTAGAGGGATATGGGCCAAATGCTGGCAAATGGGACTAGATTAATTTAGGATAACTGGTCAGCATGGACGATTTGGACTGAAGGGTCTGTTTCTGTGATGTATGTCTCTATGACAATATGAAGCCAATGGCTAGAAATTCTGAAGCATGTAACTCACCTCTTAATGCCTAAACTCTGTCTCCCATCTACAGGGCACATCAGGAGTGTGATGGAATGCTCCCAACTTTCCTGGATGAGTGCAGTTCCAACACTCAAGGTAGTGGACACCAACTATGGTAAAACAGGCCCCTTGGTTGGCACCTTGTCCACCAGCTTCCACACTCACTCGCTCGCTCCCTCAGTGATGCAGTGTATACCATTCCCAAGATGGGCTGCGGGACTCACCAAGGCTCTTTAGAGACTACCTTCCAAGCTTGTGACCACTTCCATCTAGAAGGACAAGGGCAGCAGATCCATGGGAACACCACCATCCGAAAGTTCCCTCCAAGCCACTCACCCTCCTGACTTGGAAATATATCACCATTCCTTCACGGTCACTGGATCAAAATCCTGGAATTCACTTCCTAATGGTATTTTTGGAGTCCCTACACCAATTGGACTGCAGTGGTTCAAGAAGGCAGCTCACCACCACCTTCTCAGGGTAATTCACGTCCAATGAATGAAGAAAAGTATTTGATGTAATATATTACAGACGACACTTGCCCAATGTAGGTTGGAGCCAAACCAGACCAGCAAGTTCATGGTCAGCAACAGCAACAGCCCACAGCACCTTGTCTATAGCCAATTCTTAGGCCCCAGTGAGTAGCCACTCAGTCTGCAGACCCTCCCCTTCACTCACCAACAGCCAGTTGGAGGCCATCTACTGACAGTCCACTTGTTGTAGTCACTGCAGCTAGCTCATTGCAGCAGAACAGAAAAATACTAAAGCTTTCCCAGATTACAGGAAGCGCGCTGCCACAAACAGCAGGGGTTGGTACGATACTGCCTGAATTGGCAGCAAAAATTGTTAAAATAATCCAAAGCAGGTGAAGGAGTACAGCTGTATGCTGTATCAAACTGTGCCACATTCCCTTACATTGCAACTTAAAAATTTTTCTCTCTTGTGAAGAACCTCAAAAACTCAAGGTCACAAGAGGGATCTATATTAACACAATTTGCTCTCTCTTTCCTGTTCGTATTTTGCTGATGGATGCAGCAATGAGCACATGTTCTTGTTAGTTGAAAGTATCTGTGAGCTGACCCACCTGAGAACTGCTGATATATGCCAGGAACCGAGCAGCCTCTTCCTCCAGTGAGTGGTATGAACTGACCCAGGGTTGGAGTTCAATGTGCCATCGACGTGACTAGAAAGGGAAGACAGGCTGCAATTACTGTGTGCAAAAGCTTCAGTTCATCAATCATTCAATAAATAAATCAATGATTGTTTGTAACTCAGTTCTCATGGCTATTAAGTGATTAGTGATTTTGCTTTGCAGTTTCCATTACAGTTAAATTTGCAAAACATGGTACTGAATTACTCAGCGATTTTACATATCTGTTATATTACATGAGAATTTCGTACTTTGTAGTGTGCCAGTTCTCCGTATAAATTACCAATATTTTTAACTTCCCATCCTATACCTCTATTGAGGGAATCATTCCTGCAAAGTGAAACAATTCCCAAGCCAAAAGATGGTAACATCAAAACTCAGTAAGTTGTGGAGCCATGAGAATAATGCATTTGGAATAGGCTTGATACACAGAACATACCACTCTACAGCTTGGGATTTGATAATACAGAGCTACATCAGTTGTACTGATCTGTAATATATTATAGCGAACAGAAGCTCCTTGTTGCTTCCATCATTTCTGGAGTGCAAAATATTTGCTTCAAAACTAAGTATTAAAATACAGTTTGTTGAAACATTTTTCTTGCAGAATGCCATAATGCGCTGGGATGAACTAATGAAAAGGGTGGTGAAGGCAGATTTAATAATGGCTTTCAAATGGGAATTGGATGCACACTGAACGGAAAATATTTTCAGAGCAATACAGAAAGAGGACAGTGGAATTAATTAAAAAGCTCTTTTGAAGGTGAGACAGAAACCAGATGGCTTTCTTCTGCATTGTATGAGCTCTGTTGACTCCACTTCTTTCTAATCCAACATGGTTGCTGGAATAATCTGTGACCTCCCATGCAAATTTGACAGTTGACATGGTTCAAATTTCAGATTACACTACTGTGTGCTGTCACTGAGATTGATTTGGAAAGGCTTTTCTGTGAAGTCATATTGAAGGCTCTACTGTTCTCTCTCAATGGAACTGTCAGTTCATCATGGAGACATGGTTTTACCAATCACTGAGATTGGCAGGTGAGTCTTCGATTGAACTCCTACCATTTTTAGCGTCTCTCCTGTAGCTGTTTGAGGCCAGCTCTACACCATGGTTGCTGTGAAATTGATTTATCTCAATGAGAAATTCTTTCATCATTCACTTCCCCATCATTAGCTGACAGTGACTGGCAGCATAATGTTGCTATAGGCATTCCTGCACTTTTATAGAAACAATTTGTTGAACAGGAGACATGAAAATGTTAATAAGGAAGGTTTGGTGATTTATAATACCGAGAGTGCATAAAACAGAAGAGAAACCCTTGATTCAGAGTGAACCCTGACATCTCCATATTGAACCCATTGTTGAGGATATAGTAGAGTTGATTTCGCTCAGTTGGCTGGAGAGCTGGTTTGTGGTGCAGAATGATTCCAACCCCCATGCAGACTGAGGTTACAATGAAGCATTCTCCTTCTCAACCTCTCCCCTCACCTGAGGTTTGGTGACCCTCAGGTTAAACTATCACCAGGTGTCTCTCTCCAATGGCAGAGCAGCCCTATGGTCTGGTATGACTATAGCGACTTTAGCGTAAAACTCAATACTTCCTGCTCTTGATGTTTCCTGACTCCAACTGCACACAGAGGCTGAAACTCTTTTTTAAAAAAAATGTAAACATAGTCTGACAAAATTGAATAGACAATCTCAAATTCAAATTTCAGAGCTTAGAAAAGATAGATTTTGAGCATTTACTCCACAATATGAAGAGTACATTGTTTCATGAAATCAGCAGCAAATATACCTTCATGTTTGATGCTATGGTTACAGTAAGTCATTCTCAATCTCCTTGTACATGGGAGACAAATGACATAAAACTGTGGTGCATATTAATAGCTTCTTTTACACACACTTCTTCAGAAGTAGGAAGGTTCTCTCCAAAGATGCATGAACTCAGTTAAATTCAATAATCTAAACTGTTTAAAAAAAGGGGCTGCCCATTTAAGATCATGATGAAAAGAATATTGTTTCTCTCAGAGGGTCATGAGTCTTTGAAACTCTCCACCGGCAGCAGAAATAGACTCCTTGAATATTTTCGGGGCAGAGGTAAATAGATTCTAGAAAAGCAAGATGGGTGGAAGATTATCAGGCAAATAAAGTAATGAGGTACATTACAGTCTGGCTGAATGCAGGGGATGTTGAGGGGCCGAGTGGCTTTCTGCTCTGAATTCATACATTCGGCTGTAATTACTGTCAGCAATTTATGCTCAGCAAGCCCCCACAAATGGAAATGCCGCAAACAACTGATCAGTCAGTTTTCCTTGAGGTTGGCAGAGGGGAAGGTATTACTCAGAATACCAGAGAGAAATCCCAAATTCAACTTTGAATAATGTCATGGAACCCCTTATTTGCAGCTGAGAGGGTAGCTGATACGGATTTACCATTGGCAGTTCAGTAATGGCCAAGAATATGCAGTCATCCTGATTCGCTCCAACCACTGTCAATTCCATAATTCCATCTGGCAGTGTTTTGAGTAGGATTACCCTCTGGACAACCGCTGACATCATTCATCATTGGTCCGTCTGTACCCTGTCAGCTGGCCACCCAATCTCTCCACGCTTGGAAACAAGAACTGAGCCAACCTTGGAAGAGCTGTGAAGACAGAGAGCAACTACATTTCTCCACAGCTGTAAACATCTGTTTTTACTGTCCGAGGTGGGGGGAGGTGGAATGAAGGATAGATTTTTTAATGTAGTTTATCTAATGTTTCCAGTTTATCAAAGTAATGAAACTAAAGTATGTGGTGGAACTGTCATTATTCTTTAGGCTGCTCATTCTCCTATCTTTGACCTCCTTCCCCCCATACCACACTCAGGCCCTTCCCACATTACTAGCCCAGGCCCTTTTGCCCACCGTCTTTCATCCCTTGGGTACTCTCTTCAACCCCACCCATTGCACACAACCCCTTCCCCACCTTGCCAGGCCCAGGTCTGGCACCCCATCAACCTCCTCCTCATGCCACACAGTTCCAAAGGCCATTGATCCCAGATAAACCTCCATAGAGACCCGACTGATACACACCACCTTTCAACAAACACGGTCTGGGTACTACAACATTCCTGTGACTCCACTGTGACAGTAGGATGCAATTAGCAAAAGTTCTAAAGCATATGCATGGCCTGCAAATATCATTCCTTTATTTGTTTGTGGGATGTGGGTGTCATTGGCTGCCCATTTGTTGCCCATCTCTAATTGCCCAGAGGGGATTTAAGAGCAACTCTGAAATCAAAGTTCTAAACTGTGAGAAGGCTAATTTTTGTAAGGTCGGATATGATTTGGCCAGAGTGGAGTGGGAGCAGATACTTTTCGGTAAATCTGTGTCAGAGCAGTGGTGCATCTTCTGAAGGAAACAGGGAGAGTGCAGAGCCAATGTGTTCTAATAAAGATAAGATGGGACCAATAAACCCAGCGAACCCTGGATATCCAGGGTTATACAGAACTGGATAAACAGAAAAAGGGAGGCTTTGGTAGATACCTAGGCCTGTAAGCAGCAGAAGCCATAGAGGAGTACAGAATTTGCAACTGCTCTGGCAGCATTGGTGAAGAGAGAGCATAGCTAATGTTTGGGGTCCAGTGGCCCTTCTTCAGAACTTCCCAGAACATTAACTTTGCTTTCTCTCCACAGATGCTGCCCAGCCTGTTGAGTTTCTCCAGCAACTTCTGTTTTTGTTTCAGATTTCCAGCATCCACAGTCCTTTGGTTTCATTTGGAGATTCCTCATCTAAATCATTAACATAGATTGTGAATTCTTCCTGCAGTACCCCACGAGTCACTACATCACATGAGTAATTTATTCCTACTCTGTTTCCTGTCTGCCTCCCTGTCCTCAATCCACCCCAGTACATCATCTCCAATCCCAAATGCTTTAATTTTGCAAATGAATCTTCCCCAGGGCAGGAGTCTGGGAAGCCGAAACGTCAGCCTCTCTGCTCCTATGATGCTGCTTGGCCTGCTGTGTTCATCCAGCCCTGCACCTTGTTGTCTCGGATTCTCCAGCATCTGCAGTTCCTACTATCTCTGATTCAGAGGGACCTTGGTGTGTGGGTTCACTGGTCCCTTAAAGTAACAGGACAGGGAGATAAAGTGGTTAAGAAGGCACATGGGATACTTGCCTTTATTAGCCAAGGGCTAGAGTTTAGGAGCAGGGAGGCTATGGAGGGACTGTGTAGGGTATTGGTCAGTCCATAGCGAGAGTGTTATATGCAGTTCTGGAATCCACATTACAGGGGAGGGTGGTTGTGATAGCACTGGGGAGGGTGCAGAGGATATTTACCAGGATGTTGCCTGGGCTGGAGAGTTTCAGTCATGAAGAGAGATTGGACTGACTGGGGTTATGTTCCTTATTGCAGGGAGACTGAAGAGGTAGGGGAAGCATGATTGAGATGAGGGGCATAGACAGGAAAAAACTTTTCCCCTTGATGGGAGGGAATCAATGACCAGGGCGCATAGATTTAAAGTGAGGGGGGATAACACAGTGTGGAGCTGGAGGAACACAGCAGGCCATGCAGCATCAGGGGAACAGGAAAGCTGATGTTTCGGGTTGGGACCCTTCATTTTCTGAAGAAGTGTCCTGACCCAAAACGTCAGCTTTCCTGCTCCCCTGATGCTGCCTGGCCTGCTGTGTTCCTCCAGCTCCACACTGTGTTATCTCTGACTCCAGCTCGGCAGTTCTTACTATCTTAAAGTGAGGGGGGTTTGTTTTCACCCAGAGAGTGGTGGCAATCTGGAACTCACTGGCTGTAACATGTATCATAACATTTAAGAATTATTTAGAAGTACACTTGTGATAATGCCAAGGCATGCAAGACTATGAGCTAAGTGCTGGAAAATGAGATTAGAATACTTAGGTGGTTGTTTATGACTAGCACGGACTTGATGGGCTGAAGGGCCATTTTCGGAACTGTAACAACCAAATCAGCAAACTTTCACAAAGGTTCATGGTCCTGTGTTAGTGACTGGCAATTCCCTGTTTCTGCTT